CTCTGACTCTCTTCTCCCTCCAGATCCTTAGGGAGAGGCTGTCATAATCACCTTTGCAGTTTCTAGGCAAGGGGAGAATGGGCTTCCCTCGCACCTCAAATTGAATTCCTTTGGTTGCAGAAGTTTTTCTTGAGCTCTGACTTCTTACTTTTGTACTGCAGCCATAGTTTCTTTGCTTCTTTCTTAACCCTGCTTTGGGTTAAAAGCCGGAGCATTTAAATGTAGTAGTGTAAGCGGTTTCCTCTCCAGGAGTGCAGCAGAAGGGGTCCGGGTGGTGATGGCTGACTGGGGCCCTCCCCTCTCTTCCTCCAGGGGGAGCTCCTGAGTCCTTGCCGCTGTGACGGCTCAGTGCGTTGTACACACCAGCCCTGCCTCATCCGCTGGATCAGTGAGAGGGGCTCTTGGAGCTGTGAACTCTGCTACTTCAAGTACCAGGTCCTGGCGATCAGCACCAAGAACCCATTGCAGGTGAGGTGCCGGGAGAGGACTCAGAATGGGTCCATCTTATTTGCTGTTTTCCTGCCTGTAGCGTTATGACATTCCAAAACACTGGTGTGGCGCTATTCTAGGGACCTCAGAACAACAGGGAGGGAAAAGATGATGCTGGCGATGATAGTGCATGCACTGTTTCCTGTGTGCCGTTTGTTGTATATTAACTCTTTTAACTGGGTACCATGATTATGCCTGTCTTTAGAAACACAGGCACTGACTCACGTAGAATTACTCAACTAGTAAGATATGGAATTAAGATTGGAGTGTCAATGTATATGTTTGGGTTTCAAAGCTCTTGTCCAATCGTGCCTTTCTAGAATAAGCTGGACTAGTTGTCTCAGGTTAGATCACCGCATGGAGAAGACAGATTGTTAGTCCTGCCTGGGGTTTAGGGAAGGCGTCTGAAGTCTTCTCTTTGCCCCGCTGCCTATCCCTTCCTGTGACTTTTTGGAACATTTTTTCCCAAACAGTGGCAGGCCATCTCCCTGACTGTCATCGAGAAGGTCCAGATTGCGGCCATAGTTCTGGGCTCACTGTTCCTTGTCGCCAGCATATCCTGGCTCATCTGGTCCTCACTCAGCCCTTCAGCCAAGTGGCAGCGCCAGGATCTCCTCTTCCAGATCTGCTACGGCATGTACGGCTTCATGGACGTCGTCTGCATAGGTGAGGACACCTCCCTGCTCTCCCACTACCTGCTTAGCATCGCCTTTACTCACTTGCCTGGCTCCCTGCCCATCTTTCGGTTTCATAGTCCTAACCCTACCCCTGGAGACTGTCGGGGCTATCCTGGGGCCGTCCTCTATGGCTTTGTCTTCTCAGTCTGCAGACACGAATGCTCATGGACCTGTGGCCTGTATGTGGGCAGCGGTTCACCCTGGTTTTCTCATCCCTCTTCTTCAGGCCTCATCGTTCATGAAGGCTCTTCCGTCTACCGCATCTTCAAGCGCTGGCAAGCAGTGAACCAACAGTGGAAGGTCCTGAATTATGACAAGACCAAGGACATAGGAGGAGATGCAGGGGGAGGGACAGCAGGGAAACCAGGCCCCAGGACCTCACGGACCAGCCCCCCGGCTGGGGCCCCCAGCCGGCCCCCAGCTGCCCAGCGCATGCGGACGCTCTTGCCTCAGCGCTGTGGTTATACAATCCTGCATCTCCTTGGACAGCTACGGCCACCGGATGCCCGTTCCAGCTCTCATTCTGGTCGAGAGGTTGTCATGAGGGTCACTACAGTTTGACCTGGACTCCAGGGCCAGGGATCTCAACTCAGAGCAGCAGCCAGAGATGAGCTCTCCTGGCTGCTGAAGGTGCGACCTACACAAGGTGTTTGGGGCACAGCAGGTCCACCACTGAGGATCTCTGTGGATAGCCGCAAGCTTGGAGACATTGTCTGGCCTCTACTGCCCACAGAGTAGAGACACCTGGATGACATTCCAGCTCTCACCGACACCACCTCGTGCTCATCTTGAGGATGGCCGGCCAGCAGGCAGGCGGGCAAGCAGCTTTTCTTCTTGGAGAGAACCATCTTTACCTCAGCTCTAGGGCCTCCAGTCCCCTGGCTCCACCATGGTGACTTGGTAAAGGGAGACCAATGCCAGAACACAAGGGGCTGTAGACCCCATTCCCCACCCCACGGCCACAGGGCATCTGGCAATAAGACTAGTAAACATTGACCTCCCGTTCCCTGCATGAGGGCGGGGGACTTCCCCCTGCCCCACCCCCCGTTGCATGGGGGAAGGGCATAAAGAATCATTTATACGCACGTGGAGACTCCTTTCTCACGGGTGCTTTTCTGAAGGCTGGAGGGTGTGGGGAGGCTCCTCAGCACAGGTTCAGAGTCCAAGCTTGGCTGCGCATTGGTAGCTGGAGGAGGGACCCCTGCTTGCTGGCGAATAGTTCACGCTGGCCGCTAGGTGGCAGTGCTCGAGGTAGCGGAGGAAGGTGGACTTGACATCTGTGAGTTATAAGACTTAGAAAAAAATCT